TGTGTGCTTAAGCTGAGATGAGATATGGTACAAGTTATGGACTTTTCTTGAACTTGAAGCAAACAAAAGCAAGTTGGCTTTCTAGGTCAGTAGAGGACCCCCTAATGTGCTGCATCATCCTCTCTTGATCAGTGTGTTATGCACATAATCTTGTGCCAAGCAGATTTTCCATGTACTTTCTTGATTTGCAATTGGACATAAAGTTAATCTTTTCAAAAATGGAAAGTTCACTTTATCTAGTTTAGGATTAATCTTGCATACAATGCTTGCACTCAAAGAACAACACTCTAACACATTGAATATGCATTAAATTATTGAGTATGGAATGGTTCAAGGACCTGTAATCAAGCATAAAGCAAGCTGAGTTCAAATTTGCAAAGTTATGAACATGCTTTGATGAAGAACAAAAGTGAATTTTTGCCAACTTGTGAAATTCGAATCTCTCAAGTTATGAGGTTGTTTGATGAGTTCTTGGACATTTTGGAAAGCTTGGAATGTGTACTACAATCCATCTTTGAAATGCAAATTAAAATTACAAGTGGAAGGGTATGAAAAGTGGCCTTGAAGTGGGGTAGAAAACCTTGTCAAAATAGGTTAAAATTTCACTAAGTTAAAAATGGTTTAGTGCCCTTATTCAAAAAATTGTAACTTGAGATACAAGCTTCAAATGAGAAAACTTTGTGAATCAAAATTGTAGATTATGCAACAAGCTACAACTTTCATGTTTTGACTTTTGTTTGAATCCAAATGGATCTTGGTGAAAAGGTGGGGCAAAGTTGGGGAAAAATTAGGGTTTTTCATAACTTAGAAAAATTCTAAGTTATGAAAAATTCCATTTTCAAACCCTAATTTGCATTTTGTGATTTCTTGGTGAACAAGTTTCATGATTTAGCATGTTTTGATGAAAAATGAATCTTGACTCTTGATTTTGACCAAAAAGTCAAAGTTTGACTTTTCAGTATACAGTCAAAATTGATCAATTGACTGGGAAATTCAACTGTCAATCTTGTGTACTTGGGATCTTTTGAGCTTGATGAATGTGTCAAAACCATTTCATTGAGTCCTTGAGGCTATATGTGAGCTTGATTTGCCATTGGCTAGGTCAAACAGTCAAAAATTGCCTTTGTGCAGTCAAAACCCTAAAAATGACCATTTTGCCCTTTTGATGATCTGATCAAATTTCTTATGGAATTGTGATTCAAACTTGATCAAATGGTCCATGTGAGTTCATAATGTTGATGTGGGTCAAAAATCATGAGTTTTGACTGTCAATTGACCACAGTTGACTTTTTCCCCAATACAGCTGATTTCTAGGTCAACTGTCCAATTGACTTGGCAAAACTTGGAATCAAGACTTGAAACTTGGTATAGGTAAACTTGGGAGTTCAATATGAAGCATGAAAGTCATCTTAGGCATTTTAGGTCAAAACATCCTTAGGCAAACACAAACCCTAATTTGAGTCCACAGTGCAAGGAGAAGTCTTGAGCAGAGGAAACCCTAACTGGATCTTGATCTTCAAAGGTCTTGTGATGAGAAAATGTTGAGGAAATGGGAGGGAAAATTTTGGGGTACAACACCTATAATATAGTGGGTCTTTTGTATGGTGATTCTATGTGGAATAATATGAATCTGGATTATATTGGGATGGAATTGCAAGAAAGTTTGGGACTGAACAGGTGTAGAATCGCACAAGAAGTTATTGTCTGGTGTGCATCGTCGGGCGATGGATCCGTGTCGCTGTGCGATGGAGCCTTGCTCGTGCAGCACCGGGTGAGTAAGAAGCGATAAAATGGGGTAAAAACGTAGCCCCTGGATTTTGTATGGAGGGTGATCTGTCACGTCCGTATCGTCGGGCGACGCAAAAGCGAAGAGTGATCGCCAGGCGAGCAGGATGCGTCGCCGGGCGACGGAGATCAGATGGAAACATAGTCCCTAAATTTTCGTATGAGAAGGAAGTTTTCGCTCCCTCATCTTCGGGAGAGCCTCGGGAGGGCAGTTAGCGTCACTGGGCGAGCACTGGGCGATGAACAAGATCAGACTTTTAAAAGTGTCATAACTTAGTTTCAGGACTCTGATTGACGCGTCGTTCGAAAGCTAACGCGATGAACTATATATTGGTGGGATAAATTAGAACATGGGTAGTGTTTTCCAGTACCTAGGATTTTATGAATAATATGATTCAGTGGTTGTTTCAATATGATGTATGTGTATACAATGAGTTGTTGATGTTATGGTGATGGTGTTTTGTGTTATGAAGTATGTGTTGGTATTATGAATGATGATGTGTTTTGACTAGCCATGGTCATTTGATTATTAAGATGTTTCGTATCATGCATTCATGGCATAAGTTAGAGTGTAGCTCAATGATGATTGCATGATGTTGTTCCAGTGAGTTTTGTAGGACGAATAGTCCAGTGATGGCCTCAATCCCATGTTGTGGATTAAGTGCAAGTTGTGACGTGCTCTGGTTCTAAGAGGCAATCGATCCTATTGGTGGGGATCTTTGGAGAAAATGATGACGGTGTCATCAGTGAAGTTTTGGTACTATATACATGAATCTAAAGAAGTTGCATTGCATTATATGTGGCATTGCATGATGATTTTATTGATTGATGTTTTGTGGATGTGTTTGTGATAGTTGCTAATTGGTGGTATTACCATGTGTCTGATGTGTATTATGATGCTTGAAGGTGTGACTATGACATGAGGTTTTCGATGGTGTATTTCTTTGATGTTGTATCATGACTACTATATTTACTCTTTATGTTTTTTATAATGATTATGATTTACTCACCCTTGCTGCTTGAAAATATTGCCTCTATACGTGGGTAACTTGTAGATAATCAAGAATAGTTCGCCGAAGCTTAGAGAATAGTTGTGGAGTGTGTTTTTTATTTCTTGTAGAATAAAGGGGTCTTGCTCTGATATGTAACATCAGGGATGAGATCACTTGACTTGAATAATTATGTCATTTTATTTAAATTGAAGTTTAAACTACCTTCATGACATTTGTTTTAATTGAGTTGCGAATCATAGACGAGAAAGTATGATGAAGATTCTAGAAAGTATTTCTTTTAATAAAGTGTTTTGAAACTTGAATCCTGTTGCGAGGAGTTAAAGTGACATTGTCATTAATGACGTATTTGATATAAATGATTTTTGAAAACTCCTGTTACAGAGAAGGATGTTTATATGACGTTAGTGTGAAGATGTGACACCCTTATTGGTGTCTCTATTTGTTATATTTTTCGTAAAATTACATGCGAAATATATGTGGGTTTAGAAGGGTGTTAGATGGCCCGCCAAGCCCGCTTAATTTTTTTTAAATGTTAAATATAGAAAATAAAAGATGCTATTATTTTATTTTATACATTTATTTGTGAATATATGCAATATGTTATTTTATAAGTAACGAGGCAGGTTGACTCGCCAAGCCCGATTAATTTTATTTTATATATTTATTTGTGAACATATGTAATATTTTATTTTATACGTAACGAGGCAGGTTGACTCGCCAAACCTGCTTAATTTTATTTTATACATTTATTTGTGAATATATGTAATATTTTTTAAGTAAAATTTGTTTAAAAAATACTTTATTAAAATTGTTTTAAAAAATAGGTGAAAAATCTAATTGAAATGTGCAAAAAAAAACTATTAATATATTAAAAAAAATTGACGGGCAAGTCCGCCGCCCGATATCCTGTCACTTTGGCGGGGCGAGCTAGAAGATCAAGTCCGTTTTTGCTTGACGATCTCACTGCTTCGCCCTTTTTTTGGCGGGTTTTATGTGGGACGAAGCGCACGACCTATTTTGACACCCTTATTTAAAACAGAGAGAATGAGATGAAACTCCATATTTGTGAATGTCAATGAGGGAGAAAAGGTTGTCTCCTTGTCGATATCACAACTACCAAGAGAGATGGTTATGTTATTGATATCATTATCGCTGTGATTTGACTCAGACATCGTGTGTGGGAGAGAGAGACACAGATTGAGGATGCATGATCGGCGGAGAGATGTCGGTGCACAAAAGAGATTGTGCAGATTTTAGTGCAATGACGCTTGAAGACTGCACACTGATGATCGCAGAGAAAGACGATGACGATACAATGATAATAATTTATTTTATGGAGATCGCAAAGAAAGGTGACAACATAATAGAGAAAATGATTTATTTTAGAGAAATAAAACGATTAAGATTAATACCATATAATATAATATAATGAAATACTTACCTTTTTAATTCACGTCAATATAATATATATATTCATCAATGTGTAATGTTTTATCAGCAATCTAATTACTCCATGTTACAAGATTGTAACATGATTAACAAAAACAATAGTGATAAATTATTACAAAATATTTATATGCTATCAAAATCCTATAAATGATTTATTACGATGATCATTGAAATAAAATTGATAAAAATGGTTAGAGATTACTTAAATACAAGTGTAACAAAAAGGTGTAAAAGTTATCCCGTGGTTGGTACTAGTGGCATGTTTAGAAAAAAATCTATTATTCTTATTTGAGTGTGGTTAATATTTGGCAAGCCATAACTAATTAATCTCAACATGATCCTATTCGAGAATGCCAATGAGGAAATTAGAGCGATAGATAGACAGATCCCGCGGATATTCTTTCTTCTTTCCGATATCTATTTAGTAGTAAAACAAAACCTTTGCGAATTTCACTATCCCTCCGTGTGTTACGAATGAAGATATTATAATTAATTAATTAATTAATTAATTAATTAAATAAAGCTTTCAGTCCCTTTTCATCAACTTTTCCTCCGATCGATAAAACCACCAAGCTTTCACTCACTGCACGTTTCCTTCTTCTCCAAAGGTGACCAGTGCTTTTCTTCTACTTTCTGATTATGATTCTAAGCCACTCAACTTTTTCAAATTATTGTTTCAATGTTGATTATCCTTGCATTCAACTCACTGTTTCTTCATTTCAGGTGATGGGTGATATGGAGAAGAAATTACAAATGCTGATTTTTTCTTTGGTTCTTCTTTCAATCTTTAAGGAAGCTGTGTCTGATTTGCATCAACCGCTATCGAAAGTTGCGATTCATAATACAGTTTTTGCTCTTCATCTAGATGCTTTTATCAAAGCTACTCCTGATGTACTCGGCTTAAAGGTAACCCAACATTTCACTTCACCTACTGCCTTATCTGCTTCAACCATTTGCCTAACTGATTACAATTCATTTTGTCTTTAGAATCGATTCTATCTTCAACTTAACATTTTTAGCTTTTGCCTCTAAACTTTTTTTTTACACTCAATTTTATTGTTCAACTAACTTTCACTACAACATATCCAAACATAAATCATTTATGTTAAATCACATTAATTCAATCAAAATCACTTTTGCCATGCTAGAACCAGAGACATGCTAAGTTTTGTATCAGAAATTTATGAGTTTCACAATTTCATGTTCTAGGGACAAAATACAGAATGGGTTACGCTGAAATATAGTAATCCAAATCCAACAACAGATGACTGGATTGGAGTCTTCTCTCCTGGAAACTTCAGGTAACAATCCATCAGTGCCAGATTTTGGCGCAATCACAGTGCCACTGCAATTTCATCAAACTCAGTGTCAATTTCATGTTATATAATCATAACTTTCACATCATGAGTCTGGTTGAGTTAACCGGGAGTTGAATGTTTTGAAATTTCCAGTGCTTCTACTTGCCCTGCAGAAAACCAACATGTCGGTCCTCCATTCTTATGTTCTGCGCCTATCAAGGTTCGTGTGCCACATTATCCTTGTAGCTTAAGACGAATTGAAAAATTTCAATGTTTGATATTATTAACTTGTCCCTTTTTTGTTTCTTATTTCAGTTTCAGTATGCCAATTTCTCCAGTCCCAGTTACAAGAACACGGGGAAAGGTTCCTTGAAACTTCAATTGATTAATCAGCGATCTGATTTCTCATTTGCTCTCTTCACCGGTGGATTAACAAATGTATTCTCACTTAATCTCTACCCTTTAATTTCATTCTTTATTAAATTAATTGTGCGTATTAGCTTTGAGTCCAATGTTACGGATTTTTTTTCTTTTGAATTTTATCTTTCTATTTCTTAATTTTTCTTGAATTATTTTTGACAGCCAAAGCTCGTTGCAGTGTCAAATAAAGTATCCTTCATCAATCCAAACGCTCCAGTATATCCTAGATTAGCACTAGGGAAGACATGGGATGAAGTAAGTTTAATATCCCCTTATATTTTTGATATTGAGTCTGCATTTTCTTTTTCCAGATTGGGTTGAAATCTTTCCTTTGAATGGAATCCATCAGTATACGCACTTATAAATATATGTGTGTGCGCTCATGCAAGTGTGAATAAAGAATACCTGGGATTCTTATAAGTTTTTTATTCCAATTCGTAATAGATTACCGTAACATGGACAAGTGGATATGGGATCAGCGATGCTGAGCCTTTTGTTGAATGGGGTCGAAAAGAGGGGAAACTTGTGCAATCTCCTGCTGGGACACTGACTTTTGATCGCAACACCATGTGTGGTATGCAACTCTTTTGTTATTTTGTTGTGGCAGTTTTTTTACACGTGTTTGAGACTCAGAAAAAATTCACATTTTGGATGGAAAGCCATATTTATCTGGAGTCTTAACAATATTGACATTTGTAAAATATGTAATTATAAATTTCATTCACAGAGAGGAGAGAGTGAAATTTACAATATAATGAATCATATTCATCTATTATATACACATATATAGGTGCACCAGCAAGGACTGTTGGGTGGCGTGATCCGGGATACATACACACTAGTTTCCTGAAGGAGTTGTGGCCTAACAAAGAGTATGTTATATTTCATATGTTTACCATGATATTACTTGCACTGAAACAATAGCTGATTTGAAATATTCCCTTTTATTAAATCAAACCCAAGTTAATTGAATACTCCCTCTGATCACTATTATAAGCAAAAGTTCTCTTTTTAAGTTCACTGAATAATTGTATCTGATCTCTATGATCAGATACATTGGTTATTCAATGAAACTAAAAAGAGAATGTTTGCTTATAACCTATGAAACTAAAAAGAGAATGTTTGCTTATAATAGTGATGGGAGGGAGTATTTATTTTTACAACATGAACTTAAACTAGCATAAACATATAAAGCAACTCGATTACAATGGAGACAAAATTGGATTTGGTTGCATTCTCCACACATTATAACTAATACGATTAAAAGGATACTCGACACTTTTATTAATACTGGATTTAGCAAACTCAAATTTCACCATTATATAATCCGACAGTCATTTTTGAAAACAAAGTGACTTAAAAAGACTAAATAATGGTTGCTCAAACATGTTTTCCTCTATTGGACGACCCACGAAAGGAACTTTCTCCTCTGCCTCAATTTTCCCTCCATCTTGATTGATGCTTTGTTTTTCAGAAAATGATCTTCGCAAACTCCTCCTACCACTATTCTGTCTTGCTGCTTCTCGTTACCTGCAATTAATCCATCTGATTTATCTTCTGGCTCATCTTTGCTATTAGACCATCTTTACACTTTCATCTTTGATTTGCTTTCAATTTTAGGTTCTCTTTCCAATTCCAAGATTCCTATTTTTACCAACTCTTGCTCCTTTTATTTATCAATTTTGGGCTCCCACACATTTTTTGCTTTTCCAAACCATTTTACTTTGTACTTGTGGTTCAAATATCGACTGGTGGTAGGTGAATGAAGAAACACGTTGAGATTTTACTAGCTGCAGCCAGCAGTTCAGTTTATATGATCCCTCAGCTTGCAATTTTGTTTTCCGTACTTGCAGGTACACATATAAGCTGGGACATAGATTAGTTAATGGCACAACAGTTTGGAGTCAAGAATATCAGTTTAAATCATCTCCTTATCCTGGTCAAAATTCCGTACAGCGCGTGGTCATATTCGGTGATATGGGAAAGGTAATATTCTTTATTTTTTTTCTCATGGACGATCATATGCTAACCATGTCCATAACTCTGAAGATACAGTTATAATCTTAAACAAATGTGCACTTAAATCTGCTTCATACGAAAATCTCTTCAAACAATCACTTTTATTAATCTGGAATCTTAACTTTTCATATTATTTTTGGATGAGCAGGCAGAAGCTGACGGCTCCAATGAGTATAACAATTTCCAGCCCGGTTCACTCAATACTACGAATCAGATTATTCAAGACTTGAAGGACATAGATGTAGTCTTCCACATTGGTGATTTATGCTATGCTAATGGATACCTTTCACAATGGGACCAATTTACTGCACAGATTGAGCCAATTGCATCAAAAGTTCCTTATATGACTGCAAGGTTTGCCGTGTTACACATTTGTTGATTTTTGTATGCATATGTGTCGCCTCGTTATCTAATTTCACATTTGTCGATTTTTGTATGTATACGTTTCACCTTGTTATCTGATTTTGTGGCTATATATTGTGCTTTTAGTGGCAATCACGAACGTGACTGGCCAGGAAGTGGATCATTTTATGGGACCTTGGATTCAGGTGGTGAATGTGGCGTGCTTGCTCAAAACATGTTTTATGTTCCTGCTGAGAATAGGGAAAAATTCTGGTACCATATGTCGATAATTTTAACCTTTTTATTTATTGAAAATGCACTATCATTTTAATAGCATCTTGAGCATACAAACATTAGCAGTTATGATTCCAATAAAATAACTTGGAAAATCCCGTTATTTTTCCAGGTACTCAGTTGACTATGGCATGTTTAGATTCTGCATAGCTCACACGGAACTTGATTGGAGAAAAGGAACAGAGCAGTATGAGTTCATTGAAAAGTGCCTAGCATCTGTTGACAGACAGAAACAACCATGGTTGATATTCCTTGCACATAGGGTACTTGGTTATTCTTCTGCGGATTTCTATGTTGCAGAAGGCTCGTTTGAAGAACCAATGGGAAGGGAAGACCTTCAAACTCTATGGCAAAAGTATAAAGTCGACATAGCCATGTATGGACATGTCCATAACTATGAAAGAACATGTCCGATCTATCAGGTATTTCTCTTAACTTGTCTTCGCTTTATTCTTTGGTTTTCTCATTTGACGTATAACTTAACTGTCGTTATTTCTTCCTTCTTCAGAATATATGTACCGATAAAGAGAAGCACGATTACAAGGGCTCCTTGAACGGGACGATACATGTAGTGGTTGGGGGAGGAGGTGCAGCTTTAGCTGACTTTGCCCCCATAAACACCGAATGGAGTATCTTTAAAGACCATGACTTTGGATTTGTGAAGCTCACTGCATTTGACCATTCAAACTTGTTGTTAGAGTACAAGAAGAGTAGTGATGGACAAGTTTATGACTCTTTTAAGATATCAAGGGATTATAAGGACATCTTGGCTTGCGCTGTTGATAGTTGCCAAAGTACAACATTAGCATCCTGATCAGCAATTTTTTTTTTTTGTTTATTTGGTTTCCATTTTGTATTTGGTTGAATAAAAATGCTTCTTGTGATCACACTATGACATGAACCATAAAAATTGTATTTACAACAAGAGAGTATATAGAATTGTTTATACTCTAAATGAGCTCTAGAGCTTATGAAATGCGCTCCAGCGCACAACATCCAATTCTCGTGGTGTATTTATAATTGGGTTCATTTGAATCTTAGCTTTCATTTGAAGTCGGTTTGACTACATTTGTCCACCTATATGTTATATTGTTTGGTCACTAAATTTCGATCTCATTGTATTAGTGAATTTCTTTTTCCTCTCTTATGGTGTGACTCACATCTTTGAAAATCTAAAATTATTTTTTGAAGATGTATCTTTGGACGTATTTTAAATCATCTCATTCTTCGTAAATCAATCAATCACTTTTTAGGATGAATTCAGAGATGCATCTCCGAAAATATCATTGAGCTATTTAAACAATCTTATTTTAGATATGTATCTCTGAAAACTTAACTGCATGTATTTTGGATAGAAACATTGTTCTAAGTTTGAATTTTTTTGGCAAAATACCATTTTTAGTCCCTTAACTTTACCTCTGGATCCATTCTGGTCCCTTATCTCTAAAAAGTTCCAAAGTGATCCTTTAATTGTTCAAAAAGGACCACAGTAGTCCTTTCCGTCCAAAAGGCACAAACATACGTTTGTTTTGTATGCGTGGCAGTTGATGTGGAATCCTATTTTCATCTTCTTCGTTCTCCTCTTGCAGGTTGCGTCGTATTTTCATCTTCTTCGCCCATTTCTTTCTCTTCTACCCCATACTCCCCCAAATTCTAGTGTTCAACAAATTTCTTCCCTTTATGATTCTGTAATTGTTTGAGGAAAATGAAGCAATCTTCGTACGATTTGAAGGGCAGTGGAGATGGTAATTTGCGATGAAAACCCATATGTGACTGTGGGGACACGGCTGTTCTTCAAAGGACTTCAACTCACACGAATGTCGGGAAGCAATTATGGAGTTGTCGTCATTATAAGGTAAGAAATAAATTAAATGGCCTATTCATATTATTTTTTCTGATCTATCCAAATTTGGACGGACACAGGTGTAACACGGTGGGAGAACTGACTTGGGTGTTTTGCGTTTGATCGCAATTGTTGCAGATAACAAGAGTCGACACCGATTTTTCTTTTATCCAAAAGGAAAGGTTGAAAAGAACAGGAAAAACCTTTCGAGATTATTTCTTGAGTTCGGGGGGTAGGTTATGAAAAGGGAAGGTGTTAGCACCCTTTTCATCCGTAGTTATCTACGGGCTCTTAGTTGCTTGCTAGATCACTTGCTTTTTGTTTGAAAATGTGCTTGTGGTGTGGATTTCGAAAGTATTTTGAAAACGTCTTTGTAATGGCCCTCGTTTCTATAAGAACGCGTACAAAGTGTTGTTTTTGAAAATAGTCCAAAGAGGTGTTTGTGGAATGTGTTTTTGAAAGTGATTTTGAAAAGTGTCTTTGTAATGGTTCTCGTTTCTATAAGAACGCGTACAAAAAGCTTTGTCTTTTAAAAATGTTTCAAAATAAAAGTGTTGGTGTATAAAATGTTTTTGTTGTGAGAAAGCGAGTAACTAGGAGCATACTACCTACTCAAAAGGTCTTTAATGTTCTTTTCCTCCTCCTTTGGATGTTGCTATCTTACCATTGGTTTGGTAAGAAGCTCCACCATTGGATGTGAAGGGACGGTCGTGAGACTTTTGTAATAGTCATAGAAGGCAACCTATGAGACGTTTTAGCAATGTCGTTTAGGGACTAGATCGTTTACCGAAGGCAACATTGAGGGTCATCGAGGGACTACGATCTTTTATCGAGGGTCTTTGCTAAAACGCCCATATTCGAGGGACGTGACTATTTTTCCGAGGCAACAAGTGAGATTACCCTAATGGTGCATATGTGAATAGTGTGTTTTATTTGCATGCATTTAGTCTTTGATTAGGGGTTGTCTACTTGTTGATTTTATCTTATCATACATACCCTATCTTACTAGCAATTGTACAAACGTAATAAAAATGCATAAAAAATAAATCCTACACCATTACAACCATATTGAATAGCAAGAAAATATAAAGACAAAAATAAAATAAAGAAGGAAAAAGGGGCTCTTTCGATTTAGGCAGCCACACTCTTCGATTTTCACTTCTTGGCTTCCTTCGATTTGGGCTGGAGTCAGTGAGGTCATGCCCTTCGATTTGGGCTTAACCTGAGGCATGAGATGCAGCCTTCGATTCTGCCTTTCTGCCTCCTTCGATTGGGGGTTGGAATCAGTGCGGGCGTGCCTTTTGAATGAGCCTGGAACCAATGAGGGTGTTCTTCTGAATGTCTTTTTCGTTTGGACCTGGAGGTTAGTGTGGAAGCCTAAGGCTTTGTTTCATACTTCCTTCCCCCTGTTTCTTTTGTTTGAGATTTTAAATAGCTACATGGCCTGAGGCCATGCTAGCATTGTCTTATGGCCAGGTTAATTCTTAGAGCATATTTAAAAACTCAAGAAACAAAAACAACAGGATTAGCCATGAAAACACATTAAAAGGGTGAAAACAAAAAGAAAAACAATAGTATGTACATGTTTGAAACGAAAAGAAAGTTTATTCACATATTATGCTAGAAACGAAAGGTTCAAGGTTAAGAGTGACTTACCTTGCTTGAAGCTGGGACGTGTAGGCTGGACCTTGAGTGGATGCTCTGAATGCTTCTGGATTCGAAGGGAAGAAACGAATGTGACGTTTCTAATGCTGGATTCGAAGGAGAAGAACAAGTGTGATGCTCTTTCTACTGGATTCGAAGGGTAACAAGGTGTGTGGATGTTTTAGATTCGAATGGGGCAAATGTTTAGATTCTGGATTGGTGTTTAAGAATGTGTAAGTGTTTGAGAGTGTTTGAGTTTTTGATGATTCGTTCCACCCACCAGTCTCTGGATGTGCTGTCCAGCCCCTTATACATGTTATGGAGCTTCCTATTTATAGGCAAAGCTGGCTGGAGTTTTGGAGGGAAAACAAAATAATTTGAACAATTTGAGTAAACTTCTCTTTGTAGCTTTCGAGGGACAGTGCTTGTATGCCATTTTGGTGCATGAATGGGGCAGTGTTTCAGGACTGCTGTGCAGCAGTTTTGGAGCGTTATGACCAGTGTATCAGGCCTGAACTTGACAGCAAGCATCTTTTGAATATTTCATCCTTTCGTTGACCACCTTCGACCAGATCTTTCTTCCAGCAACGTTATTTGATTTTCACCCAACAAGTGTCTTTCGAATGGGTCACTTTTGTGCACCCTTTGAAGGAGTCAAGTGTGTGCTCCTTGAATGGGTTACCAAAGTATACCTTAGGGTGGGTCTTGTAAGTCCTTCGAATGAGCCATCAAACGTGTCTTTTGAATGGCACACCCAGACATGTCCTTTGAAGGGGTCATGTATGTACCTTTGAAAGGACCAATTGTGTCCTTCGAATGGACTATGCAATCCTTCGACAAGGACTCTTATATATGCCCTTAAAATCCAACAACCATGTGTGTTGAAGTTTGTCAAGGATGGAATTGCAGCATACTAAAGAGAAATATTGTCCAGTCGAAGCTAGCGTAAACATAGCCAATGCCCTGTTGAATCCTGCATGCAGGAGGTCTAAAGTTTGTGACTCCAAGCAAGCATACAAGAGGCCAATGCTCAAACGAAGACCTGCATGAAGGGAGCCACATGCCCAAACGAAAGAGGCATGCAGGAGGCAAAAATGCCCAGATTCAAAAGAGGCATACAGGAGGCAAAAAGTGCAATCGAAGGATACCAAAAGGAAGCTTTTTGCCTTGGAATCGAAGGAGGCTACAAGAGGCTTTGTGTCTTGTACATGCTAGCATGGGGGGAGCCTCTTGCGCACAAGAAGTTATGGCTCAAACGAAAGCTTGTATGCAGCTACTCATCAACTTGTTAATCGAAGCAAGTATGGAGGAATATTTGTCCAGTCAACATAGGCATGCACGCATCAAACATCCAATCGAAGCAAGCACATAGGCAGCCATTGCATTGTGAACCCTGTGAGGCCAAAGATGCACTCGAAGGTGGCATGCAAGAAGTAGTAAGTAGAGGTGTTCGCGGTGCGGTTTGAGCGGTTTTGAAGAAAAAAATTATCCGAATCATAAGAGAAAAAACACGTGGTTCAGTTTGGTTCAGTTGATTTTTAAAAATAAATCTGAATCAAACCAAACCAAATCAATGCGGTTTGGATTTGTTCGATTGGTTTGTTTTTTTTTTTTTAAATTATTAAACCATACATACAGATATAGAGGAAAATATAATTTTGTGTTTAATTATTCATATATTACCATACAAAAATTTATAATTGTCAAAATAAATTTATAATTTAATACATAAAATTACATATTATAATTTTATCTAAATTTAAAGAATGATATAGACAATATTGCATTCTTAAATAAATATTATACAAAGAATACGATAAAATATATTTTATGAAAATAATAATTATAAATGAATAATATTTTATTTTTTATGATTTATAAATTAAAATAAATATCATACAAAATTTGATTTCTATGAAAAATTAAAGAAATATATATTGGTTAATAAAATTTTATATCATAATGTGATTTTGTTTGATTTGATTCGGTTTGTAAAATACAAACTACAAACTGAATCGAACCGTACTGTTCTAAAAAATGACTCAAACACTTTCAAATAAAATACGACTTTTTATAATTTCGATTTAGTTCAGTTCGGTTTTGCGATTTTCTATTTGATTGATTTAGTTTTGACCCCTACTACTGAGTAAAGAATCCTTAACCTAAACGTGAAACCTGCTAGCTTAGTTTGAAGCCCGGAACATCAGGCGAGCAAGGTTTCTGAACAAGAGCCGATATGCAGGTATTTCCAATATCCTCCAATCGTTTCTCTTCATCTTCTTATTCCTTCATTTTTTATAATCTTTCACATTACAATTTCTTTTCTT